CAAAAAAACAAGAAGAAGCACTTACCGGAAATATGGTCTCCTTTTTAAAGTGCTGTGTTCGGGTAATGCCGTTGAAAAGCTGCACCAATGCACACCTACCAGACTCAGAGGATGATAACAAACCTGTTGCGACTTTTGAGGAAGAATGACCCTGCAACATCCATCTGCAGCATTCACCGTGAATCAGACACTCAGACACTTGAATGTGCAGTGGGTAAAACTTTTTCATATTTATATTTAAATATTGGTATTCGGTGGTCATGTTGGATTTGTGCTAATGAACTTTAAGGAAGATAACCAACTACTTGTGAAACAACTGGTTTCGGGGTTAATTCTGAGATGATATGTATTGATATGCTATGTCTAGCCATCAATCTCTTGGCGGTCCATCTTGAAATCTTTGGCCATCAGGAACTTCTGGTGACGGGGTTCATATCTAAAGTGTTAACTAAACTTCAGTCAGTTAGAGTGCTAAATTGCATGAATATAGGTCCGAGCACACTATCAAAGAGTTAAATATTCCTAAGTCTGAACATTTATTTAGGAAACTTGTCGGCCATCTTGAAATCGAAGTTTTGTAGATTTGTCAGTAGTTGAAAATGCTCAGTAGCTCTCGTGAATATTTTTTTTATAAACATTGTATGACTATTTTGCAATACAACACATACTTTTTCATTAATGGATTGAACCTCATCTGAAACCTGGAAAATATATTGATAATTGGTAGCCATATTGGATTATACAAGTTAGACATATTTCCCAAATTGTGATTGCTATGGACTTTTTGTATGTTGTTTTGGGGACCTTGCAGACATGCATTGTGGTTAAATTATACTATGTTGCAATTTGTTCCAGGTGAAACCTTATTTTGCCTGGACTAACTGTGCAGCGAATTCTACTGCAGGTTCCTAATTTTGACATTGTAAGATTTTGTAGTACTACCGAACACAGCTGGTATATAAGGAAGCGTAGAAGGGCCACGGTGAATTATTTTTTGTCAAAGTATCTCTAACGTAGGATTTATTATCTCCTACGTGGGACTAAGTATCTCCTACGTAGGACTTATTATCTCCTACGTAGGACTTACTATCTCCTACGTCAAAGATAGTAAATCCTATCATCCTCAATCGAGTCCACACTGTCGTCCACGTATGTGGACTCTGAGACAGTTTCTACTGCTCGAGGAAGATCTTCCTGAAATATTTTAGCATGCTGTTGGGATACAAATTGGGCTAAGAAGGGTTAAGAAGTATTGCCAAATACCACTCGATTAAACTGATACACCTCTGGAGTAATGGCTGTATTCATAGACCTCCATAAGAACCTATGGAAACTCCTATCACTTGGAGCAAGTTCTGTAAAACATCTCTGCTATATCGCAGATACGAGCTACTAGATACCTGCGGAATCTCAACAAAACATCAAAAAGCTCACTGTGAAGCTAGGGATCAGGATTGATCTTGTATTCAGTGAGATATCCTTACACCTCGCCAATGCATCAAACACTAACATCTAACTTTTGTTGTAGCCTTATCAGGACACAACATTGGAAAGTGTGGTAAATACCATTGGGATTCATCAGACTCATTCCGTGATACTTTGGAGATGTACCCCTTTTTCTCATATTCAGAGATTACAATTCCATATTCCCGTGCAATGCATTTGTATTTCTTTAACCTCTTTTCAGTGCTAATGAGTCTTTGGAGGGCCATGTCATAATTATTTGGAAGACATGGAACCTCCTGTTTCCATGGTATTCCTATCTGGTAACGACCCTTCTCAAATGAGAGTGATTCATGAGCCTTCTCAAGCGATTGTTTCAGAATGGGGCTCAGAATTTGTTGAGGCCTATTTACTTCCTCAAACTCCCAAAAGTTCCTCACTGGTGAAGATAACTCAACATCAGGACCATGTGTACAATATGTATATGAGCAATGAGTTTGTGAGCTTATTTGGCCGATATTGCCAATACAAGTCAACCCAAGGGGAGTCCTTCTGGCGATAGGATCACCTGGTTGACCTGATACATCTTCATATGACAGATGAAGCTGTAGGTAATCAATTCCTATCAAGAGATCTGCATTTGGATCCGACCCGTGAAGGTCCGGGGTAGAATAGGCGACTATGCTCGTCGTAAAAGGCGACTAACGGGATCGGGTGGTCAGGCTCGCTGGCTTGGTTGATGCATGTCATCGATCTCAATTGCGCGGATCGATGCTCATGATATTAATCACTGGATTGTCTGGTCCAGACTCGATTATTTACAGACCGCCGTCATATAGCTGGAATATTGCTGAGTGCGGCGTTAAACAACAAACCAACCAACCAACCAACCAACTTTTGGATCCCGTCCAATAACAGGGAAACTGATGTTCTGAAAATGATACCACTTCTCCTTATGCTTGTCCCAGTCTATCACCTTCACATCACCTGTTACACGTGTCGTGGTAAGTGCAGACATTTCACGATTGATGTTACCACAGACACTTTCAATGTGAAAGCTGACAGACTTTGACTGAAATGTTTCTGTATTTTGAATTGCCATTCAATACATTTACAGAAACTGTCTAAGTTGGTCCCTGGACTGCTAATTCTGAAGCTACATCATCGTTCAGAAAGGACCTACAACTTGCGTCACCCAGTAAAACATTCACACAAATCCTCCATTTGGCATTTGTAAGAATAACTGGCATTGTTCGGAGAGCTATCAATGGCTTCCTGGGCTCTGACTTTGGAAACGTTGTAGCTAATATTTGATCTCAAAGTTTTATGTTATTCGCAAGTAAAAAGCACATGAAATTCGTCTTCAATATCCTGTTTGGTACACTTAGAACATATACACGTGACAGAATCCATATACTTGGTTCTACGACATTTAATGACATATGGACGTCATGAAGAGATATTTCTTAATTTACAGAGAGCTCTCAATAGATATTTATCTTGTAATACAGTTACATATTTTCTGGTTGAAACAATGATTTGATACAAGCATAATGCTTGAGAAAATAGGAAGAGGACATTTGTTGGTGCCAGGTTCGCTGAAATACATCTAATAGTCTTTGTTCAAGCGTATTTAACAATTCTTTTTCATTATCGTTGTCTTGTGAGTTCCATACAAAGGAAAATCCATATTAAATTAACATGCTTCTTACACCAGACACCAAATGCGTTTGCCCTTCATCATCTAATTGCTTTAGCATTTTGTAACATTGAAATGGGCTCCTGTGAACTTCCATTTTTAATACTTATATTCAAAACCTAACCACACGCAGCTGTCAACTGTAGAATACTCAGAGGGAAACCCGACTTGAGCTTCAGATAGCATATCATTTACTTCAAGCGAAATTCGAAGTCGTTTTTCAACAAGAAATGCAAATAGTTTTCCCATGACATTCAAAATAGATTGTAATTGTTTGGTTGACTGGCATTTTCCTGATTTGTATAAAGACATTATCATTTAAAAAAGTCCATGCATCGGGGAAAATACCTCTGTCAAGGATTTTATTGAATAAAAGCGACAAATGTGGTATAAGAAAATCTCCTGATACTTTGTAAATTCTGATGGGACTCCATCAACGCTTGACGCTTTACCATTTTTAAGACATTTAATGCTTCTCTCACTTCATGTTCTTCCGTGAATGGTAGTTCAGTACATTCATCGCACATATGAGAATTTAATAAAATCAGATATTGATAAATCAAATTCTGTTTTTGCTGTCACGCACATCGGATTCAATAAATTCTGAAAATAGGAAAGCCATGCATTAGGAGTTATAGAACTGTCTGGTGATTCTTTTACGAAACGTCTTCTTAAGTATTTTCCAAAACGTTTTACAATTTCATAATGCGCTGCTAACTTAATTTCTTAACTCAATTTTATGTCATACGTTCACAAATCTTTTTAAAATTCTGATTTTGCATTTATATATTTGTGAAAGTTCAAATCACACTTATGATTTCTGAAGTTGTTGAGACAAATACTTTCATATTCAGATTTCATATTCTGACACTCGCTATCAAACCAGGCTAGCTGAGATACACGACGTTTACTGGACCAAGAACAAACAGCGCCAGCACTTGTAAAACAACATATCACAATGCCAATGAGCTTAGTAACTGCTGCGTTAAGGTTATCCTTCAAAATGACTGCAAACGCCGTAAACATTCCTCCACTTGTATTACCGAGATTGAGGTGGTAGGAAACAACTCGCTCAGGAGGAAATGTGTATTTTGGTACAGGGGCTAATGAGGCGGGTGCAGTGTTGACGTTATTATTTTGCTGAATTGAACAGGGAATAAAATCTTTAAAATGAGCGTCAATAGGCAAGTGATCTGAGTCGTTCAACCACTGACATATCTTTCATAGTTTCAAATAAACTCGATGAAACAATATAATAATCTACAGTACTACTTCCTGTGTGAACCCGTGAAGATCCGGATGGAATAGGTCTTCAGCAACCCATTCTTGCCGTAAAAGGCGACTATGCTTGTCGTAAAAGGCGACTAACGGGATCGAGTGGTCAGACTCGCTGATTTGGTTGATGCATGTCATCGATCCCAATTGCGTATGATTTTAATCACTGGATTGTCTGGTCCAGACTGGATTATTTACAGACCGCCGTCATATAGCTGAAATATTGCTGAGTGCGGCGTTAACCACATCAAACCAACCAACCAACTTGCTTGATAACGGTGTTAGAACCAACACCTAAACGTCGCTCCCAATTGTAATAAAGAAGTTGTTCATCCATATATATCTAATCATCCATCAAATAACGTAATTTCTGACCAGTCCTTGCATTAAAATCTCCACATAGATGAATTTACATGAATTTATGGATAATATGGATTAACTGGCGTTCTTAATTGTCTACACCACTGTCCTCCTTTTTTAATACACTATATTTCAAATGCCCCCTGGATATGAGATGACAGTCATCACAGCGGTGTTTTCCCTCAGACTGGTCGCGGAATCACCCGAGCAGTCAAGGGGACATAACTCCAACCTCCTAGAAAACACGGAAGTTCACTTGGAGCTGTCGGCTGAGAATATCAACTGTAAACTGTCGTATACTGGACGATCGTGGAAACATGAGCAGAATCTACCATAATCAACCCCTTGCAAATCTACCAGTCGATAGTGTCAGCGTGAAGACAACATGGGATTCTGTGCTAGAGTGCACAAAGCAAGTAAAACATACACTTTGGTCCATTTATTAGTTGATCTAGGATCGCAGGACGTTATTCATTTCCTTGAATTACACATTCACAAGTGTTTACAGTTTGCACGGTTCTAAATGATTTAGGTCTGCTAACCAAGCCCCCAAGAGGAATCCTTGTAGAAAACTCTAACGGATTTGCGGTCACTGTCGTCAACATGAACTTCTTGGCACGTTGTCTGTCGTCAGATATGTCACGCTTGTCACATTACATAAGATTAACAGCTGATTAGAAGCCAAGAAAAATTCAAATCCGACAAAGTGTCAGGGAATTCAGAAAATAAAGATTATTTACTACTTAATACTTTACGATTAAAATACTCAACAACAACCACCATGTCCACAGATCGTCTCTGTTTACAGAAAGCGTAATTCCCAATGGTTATTGGGAATACCATCTGAGTGTTTTTTTCAAATGACATGGTGTCACTCTTGGATGCAACGATAACATGGATGCCATATGCACTAGGGATGGGTATTGGATGTTTAAAGTGTATCAAAATATTTTACAATACACAATGCTGTATTGCAATTCATATCACGATATATTGTATGATTCCAGCTTTTGAATTCAGAAGCAATTTGAAACACCAGTCAGCGTTAGAAATTGGCACTAGTCCTACAGTCCTTGCCCAATGTTTTGCTGAGGTGCCATTTTAGCCTACACCCTAGTTAAGGTATCCTGAGGACTAGTAGAAGTACCATATTCAACGTAATAAGCGCCCAGGGTGCTCACAAAATTAGAAATAGGGGGTTCTTATTAGAATATTATTTTGGTGAAAAAAACAGAGTTGAACGATCGTAAATTTCGTGGTTTATGTTGACAGCCTGAAATGTTTACATACAACAGATATATTTTTCCAGAGTTTAATTGCCCATAATTAAGGGTGCATATAACACATGAGTGCGTATTATACGCGAATAAATAAGTCTTGTGAACATTGATCAGTCGGAAGGGGTGCTGATTGGGATTGTTCACCAGCCAATACATAAGCAAATATCACCGTGGGTGCTTATTAGAGCGGGGCGCTTATTACGTCGTATACGGTATGCCCTTTTTACATGCTCCGGGACAGTAGTGCCTTGGCATAATACCGCTGCCACAGACGAACTCCAGAAGGGGAACATGCATTTTGGAATTACGGATACATTTTGAAGGTATTTGGCATGTATATAACATTAAAACATTTGATAATGTTACCGAGCATTGACAAAATGATATTGTGATATGTATCATGGAAAGAATGAACCTCAATTTACAGATATACTTGTAATACTGCACACCCATAGTGTGCACACAGCTACACCCACACACACATGTGATTGTTGTCTGTTGTTGCAGAGAGGGTCCTGGTGTTATCCTGGAGGGGGTCATCAAGGGCAAAGCAAGATACTGCGTCACCGACAAGGACAACAAGAAAGTGAGTTTATAAAGTCCAAAGGGGCGGTCGGGTAGCCTAGTGGTTAAAGCGTTGGCTCGTCACGCCGAAGACCCGAGTTCGATTCCCGACATGGGTACAATTTGTGAAGCCCATTTCTGGTGTCCCCCGCCGTGATATTGCTGGAATATTGCTAAAAGCGGCGTAAAACCATACTCACTCACTCACTATAAAGTCCAAAAAACAATATTGTGGTTCCGATTACACTTAAATAAAAAATAGGGTAGGTAGGATGTTTTTGGTGTTTTTAAAACTTACTATGTTACAGAACTAGATTCAGACTACTCCTTGCCATGGAGGAAGGTGACACTTTATGTTAGCCACACCTTACCTCTGTGAGGGTTGTCACCTGTGTGTGTGTCTGTGAATGTTGTTGCGTGTCACTGTATGCAATATTTTATGGGGTAAAAGAAACGGCAAGGTCATGATACAATACGTATCACGATACATAGATCACAAAACATCGTGATACGCATTTTTACTTCATATCGAAACGTCTTCAGTATAAATATTTTAGAGCAAGTTCAAAAGGAAGACCTATAGCTGTAGATACATGTTCGTAGCATCTATTTTTAGGGGTGAACTTGAAGCATTAATTACAATACATTTTGCGATATTTGACTGACAAAAACGTTGGGTCATGAAACGACTAATAAGTAATTTATTTTGGCAAGTGTATCGACTCGTATCAATACAGGAAAAGAGGTATCGTGTATTGTATCGTCACATGAAAACTCATGATGCACCGATGTATCGTTTCACCTCAAATATTTACGCAATTTTACTGCAGCCTGTGAGTGAGGTACAGACACACCAGCATGTACAACTATCATTAGTCTGTGTCAAACATTGGGAGTCATCACTTTGTGAAACATCGCCCTGGTTGCACATACTGTTACCATGGTTACAGTTAGGAGATAAACCTAATGTGTTTTTAAATGTGAGGTACTCTTACTGTAGATTCCATACCTCTTATTTTCCCAAGCCACGAAGTGGAAGGGGGATATAGGAATGGGTGCTGTCCATCCGTCCTTCCGTCATCTGTCTGTCACGCTTCATTTTCAGAGCAGAACTCCGAAACCATGAGAGAAATCTTAACCAAACTTGGCACATAGATAGGTCTAGTGGTGAACTGGTGTCTTTTCATGCATTTTTTGCCGATCCTTGCATTAAAATCCTGTAAAGTTATATCATTAGATGTGTCTTGGCCAAATCACCGGTAGATTCCAAGAAAACGTCTGTACAGCTGATTGCTGTTTCCGGCTTAGTTTACGAGAAAATACACATGGTAATCTTAATCCTTGGATGTAAAACAATGCCTAGCAGAACAAAAAATACAATTTAAACGGTAAATCAACATGTGTGGTGATTTTTATATCTCAAATTTCAAATTTGTACTGACCATGTTTCTCATCCCACATTGTTTACCGGAATTCTGCGCATTATACTTGGGTGCGCACTATACTCAAGAAAATACGGTAATTAATCTACGGTTGTATTTTTCAGGTTAGGTACTACATCTTTCAGGTACAGACTCAACGAGCTCACAGAAGGAAGTTTGATAGCTCAGGGAAAGAGATCGAACCAAATTTTAGCGAGACGACCAAAATATCTAAAGGTTATCTCAACTCCTCATACAGTGAGTGACAAGCACCCGATTACAAGAATCTCACTTGACACAGATAAAATGCCTCTTCTTAAGAGCCCTTGTGGGGATTCCGGCCCAGAATAGGTCCCTGGTCCCTGATGCTTGATGGAAGGGCTGACTAAGATGAGGACAGGTGGTCAGGCTCAGTGATTGGCCAGTTGCATGTCGTCATTCCTGAGTGGTGTGTGATGGTTTTCATGCTATCAACCACTGGTTTGCTTGGCCAAGACTTGATAATTCACAGGCGTTAAACAACATTCACCACTTCATATACACAAGACCCGTGAAGACTCCGGGTAGAATAGGTCTTCAGCGACCCATACTTGCTGAAAAGGCGATTATGCTTGTAAAAGGCGACTAACGGGATCGGGTGGACAGGCTCGCTGACTTGGTTGATACATGTCATCAATCCCAATTGCGTGGATTGATGCTCATGATGTTAATCACTGGATTGTCTGGTCAAGAATCGATCATTTATAGACCACCGTCATATAGCTGGAATATTGCTGAGTGCGGCGTTAAACAACAAACAAATCATATACACAAAATGTCCAAAATAGTTTGAAATCTGATATTGCAGGTTCAGTTAAACATGTTTAAAATATATGTCCAGTAAAATATACCTGAATGTGAGAAATGTTTTGTATTAATCAAACAAGTAAAGCTGACAAAGTTCAGGAACGTGGCCTTATAGTACCGTATAAGTTTATGAAACAAATCTGTGTTCCCTATTTTCACAGAAACAGAAGCCAAAGGCTCTACAGACAAGTTGACAGATCAAGAGTTATCTGCCCTTGTGTCACAGTCAGAACTGACCTCACTGGGTAAAAAACATGGGCTCCCAGGCTGTGTGACCTTGTGGGTGGAGGAAGCCAAACTGGACAAGATGGAGCTGGACACGGACGACTCAGTCAGGGTCAAGACACGCGGGAACAGTCCATTTGTTTGTAAGTGATTGTGCTCATGCTTCCAAGGTATTTCTTAATTCAAAGACAGATTCCTTGTATTATTCCTAATACACAGATTAAATGGTAATGGCATGGTTAAAATAAGTTTCCAGTGCCAAAAGTGCATAATTACAAATTATATTTGAACATATGTACATGCTTACTACACAAGAATTATTTTCAAAATAGAACTGGGAATTCCAAACTTGATAAGGAAATATCAATCTCAGTGAAATCTAGATTGAAAAGGAAGTGTTTTAGGTTTACAAATTACAGCCGCTTATGATCTAGTTCATGATATTCACCAAGTTTGAAGATCATGCTGCGTTAGAAATTGGCACTAGTCCTGTAGTCCTTGCCAAACTGCCCAATAGTTAAGGATAAGGACGAGTAGAAATTTACCATTTTCAAGGGTTTTGTTATATGTTATCATCATAAGGACTAGTGGACTAAAACTGTTAGTTTCTACCGCTAAGATGGATAAACTCTATGTTGGCATATGGGGCTGGGACGAGTCCAAATTTACTACCCGGGTATCCACCCTCCTATTACCCAACCCTACCAGGGTACCCGCTGTAACTCTCAATAGATAGGTACAAAATTGGGAATAGATTGACCATAGCCCTGGACAAAATGTATTTAGATACATGTATATGAAACGATCTGGTCATGCATAGACTGCAGTTGACTGAACTTTTATCTTTATTCAAACATATAAAAGTCAGAAGGAATGGGTGCATAGTCAGAAAGAAATGTGAACATTAGTGACTTGTAGTGTAAACCATATATTTTTTGATCATTTTTGTCATTAAACAATATAGCACATGACTTACCACGGGTCCGGGTAGTCCTGTGGGTACCCGGGTCCTTCTCAGAACCCACCCGACCCGAGTACCCGAGGTACCTGTCCCAGACCCTATGGGCATACTAAAATTCCAAACTCACACCAGTGCATCCTGAATCCCCAGTGACATACTTGAAAACAAATGGTTATCTATACCAGTTTGATATCAGTATTAGCTCTCCATTTTACAATTGTTTGAACCCAATGAAGATCCGGGGGAGATTTGGCTTTCGGCAACCCATGTTTGTAGTTAGAGGCAACTAATGGGATTGGGTGGTCGGACTCACTGACAATGTTGATGCATGTCATGTTGATGCTCACAAAATCAAACACCGGATTATCTGGTCCAGACTCGATTATTTGCAAACTGCTGTCATATACATGATATAGCTGGAATATTGCTGAGTGTGGCGTTAAACAACACATCAATTCTCCATCATTTAAAATCCAAAATGATAATCTCCAATGTAACATATTTTTGACATCTTTATGACTGATATGCCTGTTTCATCCAGTGAGTATTGGGAAGGTGGAAAACGAGTCGGCCACTGTGTCGAACTACGCAGGGGGGGAGGCTGTGGGCGCATCATGGACAGACAAGATTATGACCATCAAGTCAGCAGCCTCCGAAACCACACCACAGGACAGTGAGATCGCAGACGATGAATGGGTCAGTACAACACTACTCAATGATGATCCCAATACAAAATATCATTTACAATATTCGTCCCGGGGGCTTAGAAAATTCACAAAGAGGGACACTTATTGAACTATTAACAATGAGTTAAAGTTGTCAGAGATTGACAGACTGACAGACAGATTAAAGTTCAAACATCAATGGGGGCGGTGGAGTAGCTTAGTGGTTAAAGCGTTCGCTCATCGCATTGAAGAGCTTGGATGAAGTGTGAGTGAATGAGTGGTTTTATGCCTCTTTTAGCAGTATTCCAGCCATATCATGGCGGGGGACACCAGAAATGGGCTTCACACATTGTACCCATGTCAGGAATCTAAACCAGGTCTTCGGCGTGACGAACGAACACTTTAACCGCTAGACCTGTGAAGATTCCGGGGTAGAATAGGTCTTCAGCAACCCATGCTTGCCGTAAAAGGTGACTATGCTTGTCGTAAAAGGCAACTAACGGGATCGGGGGGTCAGGCTCGCTGACTTGGTTGATGCATGTCATTGATCCCAATTGCGTGGATTGATGCTCATTATATCAATCACTGGATTGTCTGGTCCAGACTCTATTATTTACACAGACCGCCGTCATATAGCTGAAATATTGCTGAGTGCGGCGTTAAACAACAAACCAAGCAACCAACCAACTTTAACCGCTAGGCTACCCGACCACCCCGCTTCGATGAAGAGGGCAGTCGGCAAGCCAAGTGGTTAAAGCGTTCGCTCATCATGCCACAGACCTGGGTTCCAATCCCTAAATGGGTACAATGTGTGAAGCCTTTTTTTCTGGTGTCACCCACCTTCATATTGCTGGAATATTGCTAAAAGCAGCTTAAAACCATGAACCCTATATCCTGTTGATGAAACAGAAAAGCCATTATATGCTTTAAGGATGTTTCATGTTGATGGTGACATTTTAACCAGTGACATGTTTGGTATTTCAGGATGATTAGCAGTCAGCAAGAGGATGGAACCAGCAGGGGGAGAAGCATCTAGTCTTCCATTATTTCACCTGTACTAGACAGCACACACTGTAGGCCAACAGCACTGTCACATCTAGTTCTATGCTGGTCTTAAGAGGCGACCAAATAGATCGGGTGGTTGGGCTCCATGACTTGGTTGATTGCATGTCATCATACACCGATGGCGTGATCGTTGCTCACAATGTCGATCACTAGATTGTCTGGTCCAGACTCGATTATTTACAGACCGGCGTCATTCAGCTGGAATATTGCTGAGTTCAGCGTTTTACAACAAACATAAATACAAAACAAAGTCATCTATTTCTGCCTCACATTTCATTGAGGTGGGGTTCAATACAGAGGAAATCCCATGTTAATAACAGTTGGAAGTATGATTGAAGTTCCTGTAAGTGGAGTCAGTATTAACAGTACCTTTCAATGTTAAATAGTGGTGTGATCACTTGTATTGCTTACACATGGGATATACTAGTACTTACTTTAAGAAAATGGGGAAAACCTTTATGAATCATTGTGCAAGTGGGGGGCACGGGTGGGCCAGTCGTCTAAGGCGCCGCAATTTACTGTGCAGAGTTGCTTCCTTGGGCACGCCAGAAACCTATGATTGTGGGTTCGAATCCAGGTTTGCCCCGATTATGTTTCTAGGTTTGTCAGCACCATACCCGTGCTCGTTGGTTTCACCGAAGTGCTAAATGCCTGAGACCTGCATCACTTGTGGCTTTCCTCCCACCTTAAGCTGAAGTGCCGTGATATAACTGGAATACTGTTAAATGCAACGTTAAACCCAACTCACTCACTCACTCACTGTGCAAGGGTGTTGATATGAAGCTTTTGTTCATGTCTACATTTGCATTGGATGTTATACAACACTAAATGCATAGGTAAGACTAAGATGTGTCAAAAAGACTAACTTTAGAGGTTTTCAGGAAGCTTTTTTCTGACATCCTGAACAAAAAAGTTAGCGACCATGGATATTTTTTTTGTGGTGAATTTCATAAAAATATCTCCAAAAATATTCATGATTCCTAGTCAATGACTTAAAAATAATTTTTGTACCAGATGTTTAAATACTCTTTCTATCTACGTCTCAAAGAAAATCATCTTGGATGAAAGGCTTTCTCATGTCCAAATATACCTAACTGTTATTGTTTGGTATATTTGGACATGAGAAAGCCTTTGATCCAAGATGATCTTCTCGGAGACGTAGATAGAAAGAGTATTTAAACATCTGGTACAAAAATTATTTTTAGGTCATTGGCTTGCTGACACTTTCATTTGAAGTTAAAACAATTATCCTATTTCACTCATTTTAGCTGTATGTAGTTATATGTATATAGATATGACTTAATCTCACCCAAGCTATATCTCCTGTTGAGGCAAGTTCTGGGTCAGAACTTTATTCTATGACTGTATAGATGTAGTTGACAATAGTTGGAGGCAGATGAATCCCTGCGAGAAGGCGCCATGTGGCTGTCGTGTCATGTTAACAGAAGTGTCTGTGTGTCGCAGTACTTGAAGCAGCATATAGTGATGTTGTGTTTCAAATACAACACATGCATGTATGTAAATTGTACAATACTTTTTTGACATGTAGACTAATGCTTTGTCTCAGAAAATACATACAGTAAACTATGTTAATAACGAACACGCTTATGACGAATCGACGGAAATAACAAACTTATGTTTGGCCTTGACCATTGTCTGTATATATGATATGTGTGTATTTCGAACTACATGTTTAATACTCCTCGACAAGCATTGGAGTTTTAAACATTTATCATCCAAAACAGGACATATTGCTTGGATGATGAGGGTAGGTTAGTGGTTAAAGCGTTTGCTCATCGTGTCGCTGACCTGAGTTCGATTCCCCTTGGGTACAAAGTGTGACGCCCATTTCGGGTGACCTTCGCTGAATATTGCTAGAATATTGCTAAAAGCAACGTAAAACCATACTCACTTGCTCACTGGCTTCGATGATATCCAGAATCTCTCCTTGGAGGGAAATTACAATGAAATTACATCATAATGCATTGCAGACAATTGTGACATCATCGGTTACCATGACATCACAATCAAATGACACCACTAATCTCTGCTACTGAAGCTGGTTAGCTGTACTTTTTACACTTAAGACACAGCTTATCACTGATTACTAAAAACTTGAAGAATGATGTTGGTTGATAAACAGAATCTCACTCTTGTGGCGTTTGATATCAAATGTATCAACACTTGTTGATAAAAGTTTAAGACTCCCAGGCTTGTTTATACCTCTTGTAGATATATTTAATGTTAAAGACACTTTGGTGACATTTATCAACAAGTTTGGATTGTACCCCAGTAAACAACTTCATCTTCCAGTGATTCACAACACAGCATTTATGACTTTTGTGCAATTAATATTTCTCATATTCATCATTGTTGTGTCTGTATTTTCATGTTTATAATACTTATAAGACGACAAACTTGTTTTTTGTCAATGTTATGTTAAAATGTTTATGTGACATATATTATAATGAATATCTTGATGTCAAAATAATACATGTAGCATGATATTAACATTAAAAAGTACATGCTTTATAGCTTATGTGTCATGGCTTTCTTGTCGGGCGTCTGATGTCATCGTTTGCATCTGTAAACATCTCATAAACCACTGAGCAGCCTACGTGGTCTTGTGGTAGAGCGTCCGCCCGGAGAGCGGAAGGTCCGGGGTTCGATCCCCGGCCGCGTCATACCAAAAGACGTTATAAGATGGTACTCGTTGTTACCCTGCCTGGCGCTCGACATTAAGGGGCTAAAACAAGGACTGGTCGGCTCGGAGTCAGTATACTGTGTCTGAGTGGGGTATTCATGTTAAACTGCGGCATGGTATCTCAGTGAGCTAGCACTATAAATTGGCATCAGTCCGGACTAGTACAAGCAGCCACACACACACATGCACGTTGCTATATAAGTGCAATAATCTTGGTTGGACGTTAAACCCAATTTCACCTCACCTCATAAACCACTGTACCAGTGACAGTGAAACATAGTACTACCTATATATAAAAGATGGTACTGTCTGGCGCTCGGCATTAAGGGGCTAAAACAAGGACTGGTCGGCTCGGAGTCAGTATACTGTGTCTGAGTGGGGTATTCATGTTAAACTGCGGCATGGTATCTCAGTGGGCTAGCACTATAAATCGGCATCAGTCCGGACTAGTACAAGCAGCCAGACACATACACACACAATTTCAAAAACCCAATTTCACCTCACCTCACCTTCACTTGACCGTGAAGATCCGGGGTAGAATAGGTCTTCAGCACCCCATGCTTGTATAAAGAGGCGACTAACGAGATTGAGTATTGTCCCTGGCAATAGCCAACCGGCATGCAATAGCAGTGTTTAAGTATTGAGCCTTCCCCATGATCGGGTGGTCAGGCTCGCTGACTTGGTTGATGCATGTCATTGTACCCCAGTTGCGTGGATCGATGCTCATGATGTCAATCACTGGATTGTCTGGTTCAGATAAGATTATTTACAGACAGCTGTCATATAGCTGTGATATTGCCGAGTGCCCTGTTAAACAAGAAACAAACTTTCTTCACCTACAGATAATTTATTTTTACCCATTCTGGCGCTCATCATTAAGGGGATTAAACAAGGACTGGTCGGCTTGGAGTCAGTTAACTCAGAGGAGTATTCTTGTTAATCTGCGGCTTTGTATCTCAGAAGGCTCGCACTATAAAATCGGCAATAGTCCGGATTAGGACAATGCACACATGCATGCACATTGCTATATAAGTGCAGTAATTTTAAATGTGACCTCACCTCACCTCACCTCACATCACATCACATCACATCACATCACCGTACATCACATCACATCACATCACATCACATCACATCACATCACATCACATCACATCACATCACCGTACACCCCCTCACCTCACATCACATCGCATCACATCACCTATTTTTCATCTTTCTTTACAAGCAAGCGGCGCAGTATATAATGCATAACCCTTTGTCTCCCTTCTTTCCATGCATGCAGCACAGTGTATTCTGCATAACCCTTTGCCTCCCTTCTTAACGTGCACGCAGCACTGTGTATTCTGCATAACCCTTTGCCTCCCTTCTTAACGTGCACGCAGCACAGTGTATTCTGCATAACCCTTTGCCTCCCTTCTTAACGTGCATGCAGCACTGTGTATTCTGCATAACCCTTTGCCTCCCTTCTTAACGTGCACGCAGCACAATGTACGCTGCATACTCCTTTGCCTCCCTTCTTAACGTGCACGCAGCACAATGTACGCTGCATACTCCTTTGCCTCCCTTCTTAACGTGCACGCAGCACAGTGTATTCTCCATAACCCTTTGTCTCCCTTCTTTCCATGCATGAAGCACAGTGTATTCTGCATAACCCTTTGCCTCCCTTCTTAACGTGCACGCAGCACAGTGTATTCTGCATAACACTTTGCCTCCCTTCTTAACGTGCACGCAGCACAGTGTATTCTGCATAACCCTCTGCCTCCCTTCTTAACGTGCACGCAGCACAATGTACGCTGCATACTCCTTTGCCTCCCTTCTTAACGTGCACGCAGCACAATGTACGCTGCATACTCCTTTGCCTCCCTTCTTAACGTGCACGCAGCACAGTGTATTCTGCATAACCCTTTGCCTCCCTTCTTAACGTGCACGCAGCACAGTGTTTTCTGCATAACCCTTTGCCTCCCTTCTTAACGTGCACGCAGCACAGTGTATTCTGCATAACCCTTTGCCTCCCTTCTTAACGTGCATGCAGCACAGTGTATTCTGCATAACCCTTTGCCTCCCTCCAGTGTATTCTGCATAATCCTTTGCCTCCTTTCTTAACGTGCACGCAGCACAGTGTATTCTGCATAACCCTTTGCCTTCCTCCAGTGTATTCTGCATAACCCTTTGCCTCCCTTCTGAACGTGCACGCAGCACAGTGTATTCTGCATAACCCTTTGCCTCCCTTCTTAACGTGCACGCAGCACAGTGTATTCTGCATAATCCTTTGTCTCCCTTCTTTCCATGCATGAAGCACAGTGTATTCTGCATAACCCTTTGCCTCCCTTCTTATCGTGCACGCGGCACAGTGTATTCTGCATAATCCTTTGCCTCCCTTCTTAACGTGCACGCAGCACAGTGTATTCTGCATAACCCTTTGCCTCCCTTCTTATCGTGCATGCAGCACAGTGTATTCTGCATAACCCTTTGCCTCCCTTCTTAACGTGCATGCAGCACAGTGTATTCTGCATAACCCTTTGCCTCCCTTCTTAACGTGCACGCAGCACAGTGTATTCTGCATAACCCTTTGCCTCCCTTCTTAACGTGCACGCGGCACTGTGTATTCTGCATAACCCTTTGCCCCCCTTCTTAACGTGCATGCAGCACAGTGTATTCTGCATAATCCTTTGCCTCCCTTCTTATCATGCATGCAGCACAGTGTATTCTGCATAACCCTTTGCTTCCCTTCTTAACGTGCACGCAGCACAGTGTATTCTGCATATTCCTTTGCCTCCCTTCTTATCGTGCACGCAGCACAGTGTATTCTGCATAACCCTTTGCCCCCCTTCTTAACGTGCACGCAGCACAGTGTATTCTGCATATTCCTTTGCCTCCCTTCTTAACGTGCACGCAGCACAGTGTATTCTGCATATTCCTTTGCCTCCCTTCTTAACGTGCACGCAGCACAGTGTATTCTGCATATTCCTTTGCCTCCCTTCTTATCGTGCACGCAGCACAGTGTATTCTGCATAACCCTTTGCCCCCCTTCTTAACGTGCACGCAGCACAGTGTATTCTGCATATTCCTTTGCCTCCCTTCTTAACGTGCACGCAGCACAGTGTATTCTGCATATTCCTTTGCCTCCCTTCTTAACGTGCACGCAGCACAGTGTATTCTGCATAACCCTTTGCCTCCCTTCTTAACGTGCACGCAGCACAGTGTATTCTGCATAATCCTTTGCCTCCCTTCTTAACGTGCACGCAGCACAGTGTATTCTGCATAACCCTTTGCCTCCCTTCTTAACGTGCATGCAGCACAGTGTATTCTGCATAACCCTTTGCCTCCCTTCTTAACGTGCATGCAGCACAGTGTATTCTGCATAACCCTTTGCCTCCCTTCTTAACGTGCATGCAGCACAGTGTATTCTGCATAATCCTTTGCCTCCCTTCTTAACGTGCATGCAGCACAGTGTAATCTGCATAACCCTTTGCCTCCCTTCTTATCGTGCACGCAGCACAGTGTATTCTGCATAACCCTTTGCCTCCCTTCTTAACGTGCACGCAGCACTGTGTATTCTGCATAACCCTTTGCCTCCCTTCTTAACGTGCACGCAGCACAGTGTTTCATGCATATGTCCCTGACTCCCAAACCAGGGGATGTAGCCGCCTACAGTGCCCATCCCAGTGACTGCGCCTGTAAGTGGAAGCAACGAGTCACAATTATTTGCTCGACATGCGGCTATGAAAATATCCCTCATTGTCTGTGTGTTGTCTGTACGAGGGACCAGTTATGTGTTACAAGGGAGGTTGGGGCAGATGTTTGACTCTTGTACATCTCTTGTACATCTCTTGTATATCTTTTCATGATCCTCAAACATTGTTTTTATGACCCTCCCCTAGGGACTGTCATGTATTTAGGTGACCCTCCCATGATTCCTAAACACACGCACACAAAACACACACGCACGCACACATACCACACTCACTCACACCGCACACACACGCACACAAAACGCGCGCGCACGCACACACACACACTCACAACGCACACTCACACACACCGCACACCCACGCACACAAAACGCGCGCGCGCACACACACACTCACACCGCACGCACACACACTCACCGCACACTCACTCACACACACACCGCACACTCACTCACACACACACCGCACACTCACTCACACCGCACACACACACCGCACACACGCAACACACACACACTCCTTAATTTGTTCCACTTTAGCTTGTTGAAACCTGAGATTTTAACGACGTTAATGAAACATTAAACAACAAGAACATTTACATATACATTTACTCTCAGGCTACTTTTTGCTTGCTAATATCAACATTAATATACAGTTTTAGACATTTAATGGCGTGCACGTTCTGGCCATAAAAATTTAAGATGATATGCCGCGATGATTATGGCTGATCGTTTATCAATTTAAATCGCTTTTGCTCTTAAAATAAGCACGGGTTTGGGATTCATTCTCTGAGTCAGCAGATGTACATCTACAGTCAAACCAAGACCTAGCAGTTAGCCAGAGCAGTAGTAGTTCAACACTGGAGCAACGATCCAGGCAACTTGAAATACCAGTGGTCGAACATATTATGTTTGTTTGTTTGTTTAACACGACACTCGGCAATATTCCAGCTATATGACAGCTACCTGTAAATAATCACTAATCGGTGATGGTGTAGGGGATGGCACTATTGGGGTGATGGTGGTGGAGGTGATGGTACTATTGGGGTGATGGTGGTGGAGGTGATGGCACTTTTGGGGTGATGGTGGTGTAGGTGATGACACTATTGGGGTGATGGTGGTGTAGGTGATGGCAC